TGTTCCGTTCTCTGACCCCAGATAAGTTTATTAGGGTCACACAATATTTTGGGGAATACAATATCACCACATTCAATAATTTATCCTATCATAGCTATATTATCCCCTTTTCTTCTTTAGAAGAAGATTGCATTTATAATTAACCCCCTTTAAATAAAAATAAACATTCATAAATAATATTTTGGGAACTTGGGCATAGTTTCTCATACTACTTCCTGTTGGTTGGGGGTGTTGGAGATCTAATGGGGATCCTGAGAAAATTAAGAGTTATAGTTAAATCTTAGCTGTCGTAGTCTGTGAGGCTGCATTGACCTTTCAGAGGGTCTTGGTTGATCAAACCACATTAGCCTGGAAGCAATCCATAGGTTCTCATCTTCTGTGGAAATAAAAGCAGAACCTCTTTTCCAAAGCAACATATCCTTAGACATAAATTTTGAAGTCAACATACCTTTAAAATACACATATTGGTTTAACTTGGTAGCCCCTACAATCGAATGTCTCTACATGCCCCTTCTCCCAAGAGGTCACATACAACAGCAGGAAACACTGCCTCCTTTGGGCCCTATAACCCAAGGTCATGGGCCGAGCAAATACCACTACAGTGAAGAATTAATATAGGCCGTAGAATGGATGGATTCTAAGTGTGTTATACTGAAGGTGCCATAGTGATACCCTTATCTCAACGGAACAACAAAATCCATTTCATCCCATTTCCATTATTGAACAATATTCCATTGAATGAATGCACTGCATTTTATTTTCCCACTCGTTCGTCAGAGGACATCTGGGTTGTTCTCACTTTTCCCTACTGTAAATGTGCCATTATGAAACAGGAACAAGACCCACTGTCCCCACAGCTGCTTGCTCTTGGCTGGAAGCAGGGGACAGCAGCTATCTCCAGGAAGGTAGACATTAATAGTGACTAAAGTTGAGTAGCTCCCTCAAGGTGCCCTGGATACTGAGTGGTCTATTAGATTCCAGAGTTCCAACGAGCATTTGTTACTTGGTATCTGTGAGTATGAACCTCCAAGGCTTCTCAAGTTCCTTCATAAAATGACATAGTATTTGCACATAACCCAAGCACAACGTCCCATGTGCTTCAGCTCACCTCAAGCTTCCTTATTGTGTGGCTAGAGATGGCCCAGCAGTTAAGAGCATGGCTGATCTTCTAGAGGACCCAGGGTCAGTTCCAAGAATCCACATGGGGGCTCCCAACTACTTGTAACTCAAGTCTCAGGGGAACTGATACCCTCTTCTGGTCTTTGTGGACACCAGGCAAACATGTGGTACACAGACACACATGTAGGCAAAATGCACATACACATAAAATAGTTTTTTTAACTTATAAAAATTATTTTCTCAGTAACTATTCTATTGCTGTGAAGAGACACCATGACTAAATTAACTGTTATAGAGGAAAACATTTAATTGGAGGCTTGCTTACAGTTTTAGAGGGTTAGTCCGTGATCATCATGGTGGGAAGCAGACAGGCATGGTGCTGGAGCAGTAGCTGGAGCTTTACATCCTGCTCCACCGGAATCAGACACACACACACACACACACACACACACACACACACACAGACAGAGAGAGAGAGAGAGAGAGAGAGAGAGAGAGAGAGAGAGAGAGAGAGAGAGAGAGAGGCTGGCACGGGTTTTTGAAACCTCAAAGCTCACCTCCAGTGACACACTTCTTCCAACAAGGCCACATCCTAATTCTTCTATTCCTTCTCAAACAGTTCCACCAAGCACCCAGGGGGCCATTCTCACGCAAACCACCACATTTATCATACCTAACACAACGCAAGTATCATGGTAACAGCTGTTCAGATACATTGTTCGGGGGAATAAAGAGAAGAACAAGTCTGTACATGTACATGCAAATTAATCCTTAATATATTTCATCCTTGGCACAAGGCCAAGCATAAAGCAGAAATGTGTGTGTGCACATGTATACACACACACACACACACACACACACACACACACACACACACACACCAGTTTGAAGGATGGGAATGTGGCTCAGTTGGCAGAGTGCTAGCCTAGCATACACAAAGCCCTGGGTTTGACCTCCAGTACCACATAAATCAAGGATGGTGGTGTACATCTAATCCTGGATAGGAAGAGGCAGGAGGATAAAGGCCATCTCTGGCTACTCAGTGAACTTGAAGCAGCCGAGAATATATGAGACCCTGTCTCAAACAATAATAACAATAACAACAGCAACAGACCTGGTGTTTTGAAACTGTCCATGACCATTGCAGAGTTACCAAACTTTGGCCCACCCACCAATCAATCACTGGTCAGTGGTAGGTGTCCAGGGCTTGATTCACCAGCTTTGGCTGGGGTTCCAATGAAGGAACCCTGGTTATCTTGCTTGTAACACATGGCTTGGTCTCACTTTGTCATAATGAGGAAACTCATCAGTCTCCCCTGTTATGGTGCGGTGAAGGATGGCATTCTCCACGCTCATAAAACAGCGATAGGGTGGAGCTCCTGGTGGTCAGCAAGACCAATGACAAATGGGCACATCCACAGTGCGGTTCCTTTCGCTGGGCATACATCTCTTAATCAGCTGGTGGGCAACTGCATCTCTCCTTCCAAATGTGATCTGGATGAAGCTGGGGCTCAGGAACTTGGAGTCCAGTACTGGTCACCAGGTGCAGGAGCTTGGAATGCAGCCAAACCACTGGATGTGGCTGCTAGAGACACATGGCCTCAAAGGGGTGCCTGTGCCCAACACGGGGACAGAGCTATTTGGAAGCCCATGGGTGTGGTGGTATTGTGTTCTCCAAAATATTGTGTACCTTAATAAATTTATCTGGGGTCAGAGAACAGACAGCCACTAGATACAAAGGCTAGAAAATGGTGGCACTCACAC